TAGTAACAAGGACGCTATTAGGAACAAGTGCCACGCTAGTAGTACCAAGAAATCTATGGACTCACTGCAGCTGTCGGATCCATCGCAGCCATACGACTCTCGACAAATTGGGAACGCAGGCTCTGCCTGGGGAGATTGGGCGCTCTACACCGACTCTCCTTTGCGAGCCTTCGAGGTCGGGGGTCAAAACTACATGTGTGGGCTGGTCGGGATGAAGGAACATGTTCCACATCAACTTGACCGATGAAACGCCCAGTCGGTCTTGTTTGGGCATACCTCCTTGTAATCATAATGTACTCACTTGGGATACAAGCGCGAATATAGTCTTGTAGACTTGTAGACTTGTAGATGCAGTGCTGCACAGAGTGGCGATGGAGATGAAGATTCCCGAGCTTGTGGATGTGTCGACCCTCTTGTTGTTGTGCATCTGACAGGAAGAATCCCCCAAAAAAGAAAATCAAGAGTCAACTTGAAGATTGTGGTGTGACAAATGCTACTGATGTAAGTCAAGCAAAACAACTGTCATTCATTAATGACAACTACATGTCTTGCTGCCCCCCGGTGCCTCTTGGAATGCTCTGGAGACTGGCACCTCTGGAGAGAGAAACTGCGTGTTTTTGGAAAGCACGGATGCCACGAAAACCTCGGAACGGAGCTTTTCAAATCTTTTAAATATAGAAAGACAAAACATGCACCATAGACGATGGTCAATTGTGATATTATGCCTTTCTTTCTTGCAAGTCAGCATGTGACTCAACAAAAGCATGATCCATTCCTGGCCAGGATGAACTTGGCGTGCAGGCCCCAGTGGGATTCTGGGCAACTCGGCGAGCATGTAGTCTGTCCAAACAGCACACGATGGGCATCGGGCCTCCCAAGAAGGGTTTGTTTGCGTTTATGATGTGTTTTTTCTATGCCGGCGGAGGGGGAAGCAGAAGTTGGTGTCCTGTATGGTTGCCAAACTTGTAGGGCGTGGGTGGAGGGGTCCCACACGAGAAAGGAAACTGTTGTAAACATGGAAGCTGTTATAAAAATGTTTGTGCAAATGTAGTGTGAACATATTGGTATATACCAGGTTGCTGCCAGGTACTCAGAGTCAGCGCAACGCAACTGACTACGATACTTATGTGCTACAGAACTCTGGTTGGGAACAACTGCTGACGGTATGTGTGTGTATGTCCTTATTGAAACAAGGTTAAGCATGGAAGGCAGTGAGAGTAGACGGACGACTGCACAAAAATGTGTTATTCCACATCTCCACATAGCCCCCGCCCCACTAGCTGTTTGCTTGCTAGTCACCCCACACTCCTTGTTAAGCAGGTACCCCTTGTCAACAAGTCCTCCAAGCTCAAAGACAGGAGGAGAGATTGGGTCACAGTGGTGCAGCACAGCCCGCAATCCCAAACCCAACAAACGTCGAACCCCAAAATCAATCCAAATCTAGTAGGTTGGAGGCCATCGCTCTTGGGTTGGAGGAAAGTACATCTGAATGAACATTAAAACCGATACCCAAGCGAACCACCCAACGCCGAGGATCCCGTGGGCTACACTCGCGATGGAGCCTTGGCATGTGGAAAAGGGAAACAGGGGTTGTCAATCCTGCATGGGTTTGAGGATGTTTGAATCCATACGGCTGTTGGTGATACAAATCAGAGACCTATTGTTGTTTCCCTAGTGGTCTGGCAGAGAGATCTTTTGGATGGATGTTCGTTGCATCGCATAGAGCAAGTAAAAAGATCCCCAAATTGAGAAGGGCACATTGTACTGTGCAAGAGTTTGTTCATGGTCTGATAGAAAAGTTCAAGAATCAAGGTTTGCGAGGATCTCTACAAACAGATTATGGTGCCGATACTTACTTCCTTAACAGAGACATGGTTTTGATCTACTCCAACCGTCAAAAATGAAACTAGATCCAGTTCCTGATGTTTTTTGGGGAGATCCTTTTGTGTGAAGTTCCACCGATGTCACACCTGTTGCACTCCGCGTTCATCTTCTTACCATCTTGTTTTCACCCTACGCATACGAACGGGACCATACTGGAAGAACGAGGCGCGGGGAAGGAACGGTCCGCAACGAAGACGTGTGTGTGGCGGAGACGGGTGTGTTCGGTCCCAAGCTTTCGGTCCACAACACACCAAACAAGGACCGTTCAGGTGCAGGTTTCGTGAAACTCCTTTCACCCACCTGAAACCTTTCCAGTTTCTGTGCCCCTCAGCATCGAGCGTGGACCGCAAAGATGAGGTTGGCCAACCTTATGTGGCCTTGAAGATAAACACCAGTTTTGTCGGTACCAAGTCAATCCCCCAGAAGTACTGTAGTAGTAGGATGTTCTAAGATGTATCAGGTGGCATGCAAGTTTGGTCGCTAGCTACTGCTAGCCGGTAGAAGGTTGTCACTGTTTGTGACAGACACTCCAATGAACCTTTGTCGCCCACTGCCACTGTAACTTGCAAATGCAACCCATGCATTCAACCTTTAGCACACAATGACAAGCACGTCACCTATTTGGTTCCTTTGGGCGTTGATCTGCACCATGAAACGGGCTCTCTACATTTAGAACTCTATTCCTCCATCGCCGGTCATGGAGGAACGAGCCAAGTTGGTTCCTCCCTGTGAGACCATCGCGATGCGATGCTACCAGCGATGCCTTCTGTGCCGGAACGCTGAGGCAACGCCGAGACCTTCCAGCGCCGCAGGGAGACTGAGATCAAGCACGGCCGCGTGGCCATGTATGCCACCATGGGCTGCTTGGCGTTTGTGGTACCGATGGACCAGAAATGGACCGATGTGCCAGACCGGTCGTTGAACGAGATTGGGCCGGTTCAGTATTGCAAGACCATTTCAGTGTTTGTTGGACCATGTTGGACCCATTTCCCTCACCCATACTCCACTGGGAGTTGAAAGAGATGTGAGCTTTGCTTAGTGATCTTGGACAACGGTCCTGAGTATATTTTGCAACTTGTTTCAATCAGTATTTTTTCATTTTGTTCTACATAGAATCGATCCTTCAATTCACAGTGCAACTGCTGGCAGCCAAACAACTGCTCTCAGGCTACATTGTTCCTGAGTACTTCAAGTGGCCAGGACTGCGGAGTCCGATCTGTGGGGTCACCTTTCGCAGTTGTGATCTTCCACAACATCAACCCGACTGCCGGGGTCCGGGGGATGCTAACGTAACGTGCCGGTATTGTGGTAAGAAACTGGGGTCAGTGATCGCGCGCAAAAATCACGAGCGTTACGTACATAGTGAACAGGCCTTTCAAGATGGTCTCATTGGTCACATTCCACGTCGTGCTCATGGTCGTTAATGCGGCGTGGGGGTGGTCTTATGATCTGGATCCTGGGGTAGGTGAGACGTCTCGTCTTTGGACTTTTCTCTGCCTTTCGCAGCCCATTCAGCATCAACACGTTCTCGGGCCCGTCTTCAATTTCCATGGCGGATGAGCGCAAGCGTAAAATCGCGGATCTGGAACGACGGGTGGGAATTTTGGAACAAGGGCATCAGGATCATGGGGACAGATTGTCCAAGGTGGAACTCAGGGTGGAAGTACAAGAAGCCTACCGTTTTGTCCGCATTGAGCACAGCAGTTCTCTCGTTGCCCTATTTACAGGGGTGGATCTGAGTTCCCGTTGTCCGAACTTCGCCAGCGCGCCGAATGCGGTCTGGTCCGTGAACTTCAATCACTATTGGTCCAGGACATTGATGAAGAACGAGCCGCGGCTAAATCTACTGAATTATCACGGGGCAATCGACGCTGGCCCTCCGCTGATGAACGCCGCATTGTGGCCTATGCCCTGGATTTCACCGGGCGTATCGATTGAGTGTCCAAGTCGGGAGGAACAGCACATATGGACTGCACTCAAAAAGCCCTACTCAAAAATTTTAGATAAACGTAAACTTTTAGGGTTGGAGATGAGTTTTAAGTCTTCGTTTAAAAGCGGGCCCCCAGCAGACTATGGTGATACAGCAAGGCAGCGCTAGATTGGCGCTAGGTTTCTTCATAACAGGATAAGCAAAGAAGAAACAAGCAGAGAGCAGGAAAAAGAAACAACACAAAAAACATGAAAAACGAAGAAGAAGAAGAAAAAGAAGAAGAAGAAGAAGAATGCACCACAAGAAGAAGACAAGCAAGCAGGAAAACTAAGAACCTGACAGGATGAAGAAATCGACGGAGATTTTTGCGCTAGGCTGGCGCTAGATCCGCGCTAGCACCGCGCTAGACGACGGTCCATTTCTTGACCATCTGCCCATCCAACACCTGAATGTTTTGAGTCAGCTCTTACGTCCTTCCTGTGTCGTTCTGAAGACTTCTGAGAATTGGAAACAACTGCAGAAGTCTAGCAGCAGCAGTAGCAGCAACAACAACAACAACAGCTCCAGCAGCTCAACAGGCCCCTGAAAAGGTCCGCGCTAGACACCTCTCACAACTTTTGCAGTTGACATGCCTTCATATTGAACATCCCTGTGGTTTGAGTGTGGTTGGAGTTTAAAGGAGATTTAGAAGTGGGCCCCCATGGAATTGCGATGAGTGCACCATTTTGGGAAAAGACATTTTGGAAACCAACCATATACGCCTGGTCCCGGGGGAAGTTTCTCGTCAACTATCCATTTTGGTCAAAGAGAAACTTAACTGGCCTTTATATGTCCTCAGCAAAATCCAGGCTGACAACGTGACAACGCCAGTCCAACCCTCCAAATGTATCCAGACAGGGCCCATCAGCGGGCAAGGGCCAAGGTGAAAGGCAAAGGCGGCCCACCAGCAGCAGGGGGGGCTCAACCTAAGGGGAACGGGGGGCGCAAGGGCAAACAAGCTCGTGGCCGCGGACTACCTACTAACAGTTGATGTGAGGATTGAGCCCCTGCATGACATTGACCTCTTTCGTTGCTCGAAAAGTATGATGATGATCCATCGGCGTGGCGTTGGAATCGGCCTGAGACTGAACGCTGAACCTTGAAGGTCGCATTGCCGCAGACGACCCTGATTGCAGAGGCATGGCCTGAGCCACGCGGATGCAGATACTGTGGCGTGATGTTCAATTGATGAACATATCGCTTCAACTAGGTCCTCCTCAATGAGGCATGGGTACTGGCCAGGACTGCTGCGCCGCGCTCAAATGGGTCAGACACGTCGCCAGGGTGCCCATCAAGGCCCGCCAGAAAATGGCCCTGGGCCTGGGTGGCTCCATGCTACCTATTATGGCAGTCGCAATGGATGAACTCTTGTTGTGGCCCACATCCCCGAGACCAACTGGTTCCGCGAAGCTCAACACCGTCGATTGCTGGTGAGCTCCTGTATACGCCGCTTTTCCTCCGAAGCAGGTGGTCGACCGCAACAAAGAAACGCAGTTGGATAGATGACGTCCACGTCATCATCTCCCTGCTTTCGCTCAAGGCGCATTTTGTTCTATGAAACTTGAACTTAATGGGAACATATGGGAACCCTTCAAGTCCGTGCGTCTTTGTTGTCTCTTGGCCACGTAGCCAGACTGATTGCTGTGAAACATTTAAGATTAATCACTCAAGAAGCAGCCTTCGTTCCAGCAAGTTGCTGACTGGAGGCAAAGAATGGTGCCCTTGCAAACAGGCGTGCTGGCTCAATTCCTGTTTAGCTGCACCGGAATCAGCAGTCTTGATTGGTTTCGCGCTGGCTTGTGTTGAAACCATTCCCACCAGAAGAGTGAATCCCTGATGGGAAGCTGAGCTCGATTGGGAGATTGGGGATTCTCTCCCGGGTCATCGTGATGAGGTGCCTGAATGGGAACATGAACACAGTGAAGATGACTTTGGAGACACATGCCGCACACAGCCACAACGCCGAGCCCGGTTCTTGCAAGCGCGCATGGTCGGACGGCGTCGTTTGTCCGTGCCGCCATGTGTCAACACTGAATGACAGTATTCTGCCCGAATCATAGCGGCGTCGCCCGACGTCACTTAAAAATTTGACCGCAGTTTCTGAATTAAAGGGTGTCCTTCCCTTTCTATTTTGTAAAATACTTCCACGCCAAGCGCTTGCAATCCAGGCCTTGCATCTTTTTCATTTCACGCTGGTTTGCAAGGCGCCGGGCTCTCGTGCCTGGTATGGGTCAGTATAGCTGGAAAATGAGGTGGGACGCCCAATTTGAGCTTTGCAGGGCGTGAATCACACCACTAGATTAGACATGCAAAGGGAAGTGCAAAACCAGGTCAAACCAACAAAAGGCGAGCTGAACACAGGCGGCCATATTTACACGAGCCCGGGGACGTTGCTCAAGACGTCGGATTTGAGTTTTCCTCTTATGCGCGGTCATGACCGACCCACACCGCGCTTTCCATCAACAAAACATTTGCATTACCCTTTTGGGGAGTCAAATCATATCCAAGAAGGTGTAGGCAACCAGAAACCGCAAGAAACAGCATGAAACTGATTCCACCCATGCAGTGTTGATGCGTTTGTAGATGAACAAGTAATGTGGGTAATGAACTGTTTGCCGGTAGAAGTTCGTGCTTCGAGCGCCATATTTGTCATATCATGTCATGGTCAAGCTATGTGAAGTTTTTTTAACGATTGGCCTTTGTTCAATAATGAGTCATTGGAGGTGCCACAAAACGTCCTGTAACATAATAAAACCGATTTTCCGTTGTTGATTTACTAAAAACTGATAACCCAATTGAAATTAAAACATCAAGGTTCAGTTTCATGTGTTTTTGTGCTAGGATACCTGTCGCCCTCTTTGGGTTTGAAGTTCGAAGATGTGCCCAATGGTTTGGCCGCCATCACCAAGGTGCGCACATCCGCGGGGGGACTGGGAGGGAAAGGACTCTGTCACCGGTGACTTGGGCGTGACGCGGATGTTTTTTTTTTGAACACCGTCCGTGGATTGGTTGTCAGTGTGATTGATTTGGGTTGAAGTATGATGGATCCGAATCAGAGCCCTAATGCAATATGATGTTTTTCTCGGTGCCCTGGCGTTTGCACGGGTCCATGGTTTTGATTTCAAACAATGAAGCTCCAGATTTAGACTGTGCATGTTGGAAGGATTTTTTATGTTGTCACCTCTCTTGGAGTGCATATTGATTAGGCTGTGGCATTTTTTTTACCACCCTCATGATGCCTGAACGTTTCACTTAGCGAGGTGTAACTCAGTTTAATGAGGTGTTTTGTTTGAGCTTGGATGTTTCAATAAACTTGACAGGTGTTTTTGCACGCCTGAAAACAAGTAGCATGGAGCCAACAAAACAATCAGTTCATTGTTTTTGTACAACATTGAACATCCTCGTAACTTAGCCCAAACGTTTCAAGAATCATCACGACTCATCATTCCGTAGGTCTCCTTATATAGACATATAATGACACATATATATATATATATACACCTACTGTATATATATATATACACATAAATATTGACCGCGAATCAATATTCTCGAGAACAGCCTTTGGCTCTTGACCGAAGCCAGGTGCCAGGCAACGGCTGGGCACAGATCGTGGCCTTCGCCGGCTACTACGAGCTCTTCGTCTACAAGTTCAACGGCACCCCAGGCACGAAAGGGCCGGAGGCCTCCTGACTGGAGATGATCCTCTAACTTAATACCAACAACTTCTACCTGAGCTCAATATTTGGGAGATGCATCCAACAAGGCCTTATTTTTGGGTATGGATTTGCGACATGGATGCACTGCAACAAACAATTGAGCCAACCATCTAGAATCTTTGTGTCTGAGATCTTCGGAATCTAAGTTGCTTTCCGGTGCAAGTCCTGAGCACCTTCTCCCTGGCGGCACCCGTGTCGGCTGTGCCCATTGGCTGCGCCAGAGCACTTGACCAACAACAACAATTTGTATAATGGAAAGGTCAACTTCCTACACCGGTGGTGGACAAGTACTTATTCAAGAGGCTTTAATGTAATTAGATATAATTAGTAATTATGCTCAAGATACACCTCTCCTGGCTGAACATGATGATTTGGAGGTCTCCAAATCTGTGACCATTTGACAAACCAAAATATACCATTGGCCAGTGGACTCTGAAGAACCATGAGAATGAGAAATGGATCTTGCTCTGAAAACGCGTCCGTCTCACGCAGGTGACTATGGCTGGAAGGCCATTAGCTCCGCTGACGCTGAGACCAAGAAGCGCAAGCTCAATGCTGAACTCGCCAACGGACGTTTGGCCATGACGCTTGGCCAATGGTCCCATACCCGGACACTCCACATAGAGCATTTATATCCATTTGGGTGGTTTCAGGGTCAATCTCCACAGGCTCAGCCAGTTGATGATTTGTTTCGGTGTTATGTAAGTTTTTCCAAGAAGGTGGCCTTGACAACATAGAGAGATTCGGACATTCTTATGTGCTTGTGGAGTAGCCCATCCAGGGTAAAGAAGCCCGAACAAGGCAAATGCTAGTTACAGATCTCGCAAGATCATGACACCACAGTGTGCGTTTCATGTTTGCAAGTGGCTCTAAGTTTTGATGTTGCTGAACAAAATTCCTGACAACAATGAACACAATTCTGCATGGACTAGTGATTTGTGGCATGTGGATACACCACACATATTAAGCGGATCCTATAGTGCCACGCACAGGCACAAGCAGTCGTATCCCTGCACGCCCTTCATAATATGATGCGAGCTGTGCGATGGGGGAAAAATGGGAATAATTGCAAACACATGCAAACGCCCAACCATCAGCTGGGGGCCTACTCATGACACATCATGACACAGAACCAGTTGCTGAGCCTGTAAAAACTTGGTAAACGGTAAACACCGAAACACCCTTCGCATGGGGGCCGTGTCAGGATGGCCATCATCGGCATGTTCTTCCAAGATGGCCTCACAGGCAGGATGGGTGGAGCGAGCTTGGAAGACGTCATTCGAAAAAACACCTGAGCTGGGGAAAACCGATGAAAAGGACCATATTCACAAGGTGTTTGGTCTGTTTTTGGCATGATGGGGGGTGCAGGAGTCTGATCTTTTTCAACAGCAGGTTGCCCAATAGTTAGTGTAGATTGTGAGTTGAACACTCCAACGAGACACTACCTATGATAGACGTAATGCGACCCCTGTGGCCTGTGGACTATGTGTTTGTGAACTTCCCTGATGCCTGGCTGGTCGAAAAGGTTTTGGGGAATTGGTTTCCTTGAATTGCGGTTGTTCATTGAGGTGTACCGACATTGGTTCCCCCTTGCTTTTCCAATTATTTGTGCCTGCCATGTTTTACCTGGTCCTCAATGTGCGAATGAAAGAGGTGCCGTGCCGCCATATACATTCTCAAAATTAGCATTGACTCAGGACACAACACGGAGGACATGAAGAGATGCAAGACAGAAAAAAAAACAGGAGCACGCTGTAAACAACAAGGACACAAGCACCTTCACGAAAGTCATGTTAAAGCTACTTGTTTGTCCCTGACACAATATCGGATTTATTTGGGGTTTAATGTTGTTGCGAGGACGGCTTTTCGGCATGTCGGTGTTTTTGTTATAACAGAAGGACGAGCGTCGTTGCGATGGCTCCGGCCGTTTCGGCCCGTTTCGGCCCGCCTCGCCGCTGCGCCAGGTTCCGCCTGGGGCGACTGGGCCCTCTACACCGACTCCCCGCTGAGGGCCTTCGAGGTTCGAGACGACGGACTTGACGGACTCGGACTCGGTGGTACGGTCGGTTTGTTTTGTTTTTTTTCTCCGAAAAATCCTTTTGAAAGATCCTTTGTTTAATCCAAAAATGGATCTCCAACATGATGGGTTTCTCAAGATCTGTTCCAAAAGGATTGATTTTTTCAAGGTCTTTTGGACTTCTGATCTCTCAAGATGGACGGTTCCCATCCGATGCACAAACATGGCCACTAACAAGCATATGTGACGCAGAAGGATCAGAAGGTTCCGGTGTAGGGTTCCGATATGGGCCCAGTTGATGGTTTAAAGGAGCTCCCAGCAAAGAAATGGATTCAGGTTCATTACCTTTGAAGGATCTTGTCATTTTGTGTATAATATAGTCAATAGTTCTGCTCCTATTCAGTCGAATGCCAGATGTTGTTCTTGTTGGCTTTTGGCAGACTGATAGGTTGGTCAGGCATCCAGACTCATGAACCCAGGCTTCAGACTTCAAGGTGCATTGAACGGTTCACACACATCCCCTGTAAGATGTTCTCTTGGGCAAAGGTGTTCATTGATTTGGAGGAGTTGGGCATTTGCGTGTGTCAGGAGGAGCTGGGTGTGCAAGCTCCAGTGGGCTTTTGGGTGCCTTGGAACGGATCATGGGGAGTCGCAAGGAGTCGAAAGGGAGTCATTTTGTGTAGATAGAACACACCCGCAACACCGGTTGGTATATGCTGGATCAGTCATGATGACAAGGCTACCCGGCTTTTGTATAGTACATATTTCATGTGCACGACGTGTGCCTTCTATACTATTGTCATTCTTGGTGTTGACTTTCAATGGTGTTGGTGCTGAAAGTACAACTCCGCAAGCCGCAAAGGCCTTGTACAAAGATGCAGAGCTCAGTTTTCTGATGTTTTCTGATGCCCGAATGCAGGTTTGCCGGTCCAGCCAGGTGCTTCCGTGGCAAAGCCCTTGGTCGAACGGGTCGGCGTAGCACCGGACGGCACCGTCCTTTCGACGGCAAACTTCGTACCCGGTGAAGAGAGCACACACACACCCCTTGCCGGCCCTTGCCCCATTCTTTTCCCAAGTTTGTCCTGAAAGTTCTACAAACATGTATCGACTTCTATAAGTATAGACTGTTCATAGACATGTTTTGACGGGAGGAGTCAAACCAGCCCATCACTGTAAGCATTTGAACGAGTGTATCGCCATCGCGCCCGACGTGAGGATCCCGTGGGCTACACTCGTGATGGCCCCCTGGCGGAATGCTAGGCTGCTAGTGGTAGTAGTTGTTGCTGTCGAGACCCAGAGAAAGACTAAGAAAGGAACACGCGAGATGAATGTTTTGGAACATCATTGACGTTCCTGAATGTATGGAACATTTGCATACGCTGGATTGATCCCTTATATTAACTGTGTGTGGCCTCGTCACCCAACATCTCGTCAGCGCGATTTCGCAGCTGAGCTCTCTTGTGCCTTAATCTCTTGCGCTCCCCTTAGTCCTCGATTTGCCCAGAGCCCTTGATTCGCAAGAGTGTGTTTATGTAAGAGAGAAAGGAACACTCCACTTTGGGTGGGACATCCTCTTCCAGAGGGAGATTTTGGAGGTTCCCCAATGTTGTGTGGAACATGCATGTGAGTTCACTCATGTTGATTCCTTTCCCCAATGTAATGCTTGTTGGCATATCACAGCTTGGTATGTGTAATTGGGGCTGCAAGAGAGCATCCAACGGTGGCTAGAAACCATACAAACCGTTTTGGAAGTGCCACTCCCACGTTCCTCCTTCCGCAAAACAGGCCAAAAGGCCAAACTAAGATTTTTCCCAGATGGTAGACTGCCCAACCCCCCGAAAAAAAAGATGTATTGATTGCTTCTGCAATCTCTCTACACAAGATCTTCCATGGTACTGGCCCAAAACCATCAGATGCCCAAAACTATCCACACGCAGAAGGTCTCACATGTGCCACATGTGCCACGGAAAAGAAAAGAACGGAGGCCTTCACGTGCCGCGGAAACCTTCACGACCGAGGTAACATGGAGACCTTCAAGCGCCGCCGCGAGACGGAGATCAAGCACGGCCGTGTGGCCATGTACGCCACCATGGGTTGCTGGGCGGACCAAACCATACAAAACCCAAGTTCGGATGGTCAGTGAAAAACACATCCACAACTGAAGATGCATCAGTCGGAGTTGGTCAGTGTGTGGCGGGTGGGATTTCTCAGATGGGTGGGTGGGTGGGTGGGTGGGCGGGCAATCCGCCGCAAATGCTTAAGGTACTCACAACAATTGCAGCTGCCATGACCATTGTTTTTTTTTTCATGAGGCAGCGATGGCTGGGTAATTGTGTTCAGTAGATTGGGTATCCGGCGGGCATCAGATTGTGCAGGAGAACCATGCTTGTCCATGAGCAGCGTATTGCAAGAAGCTAGGGCTTTCATACTGCAAAGTTAACCATTAACCAGCGCATTTGTTCACTTGCAGACGGGCCTCCTGAAGAAACATAGATCGATCATATTTTGGATGTGACAGGTGTTGCAGTAGTCACAAACCAATCGCAGGAACAATTCCAGGGTTGTTGGCTACAAATCGGGGAAGCTCCTGCAGCCATCCTGCAGACGTCTTCCGTCTCCACAAGTCTCGTCGCCCCCTAGCAAACCCTAGAAGGCCATGAAAACCGAGGTGGGCATCACTTGTCATGAGTGGAGCCTACGAGAGTTGATCTGAGTATTTTGGCAACTGACACCTAACTATACGTAACTCAACTCAGGTATTCCTGCTGACTTACACTTCCGGGAATGGTCTCTTGCAGTACCATGTTTCTCTACAAACAGGGCGCAATGATTCTTTCAGGAAGTGTAAATGTAGGGACTTTGCCATGTCATGTGGGGGACTCCAGTGACTATTGTCTTACAAGAAGCCTTAGCAATCACCAAAAATAGCTGATTGTTTGCCAGTCTCAGTGACTCAGGCTACATTGTTCCTGAGTACTTCAAGTGGCCAGGACACCTTGGACGGGCATCACATGGATTTTGGTGTTTTGCCTGTTCTTTGTGTGTTGAATGCCTGGTACGACTTCACCCTGCGATGAGCACCCTGAAATATGTACATGTAAACAGCGTTGACATGTGGTTAATGAATGTTAGAGCATTGTGCGTGATCTCGAGAGCCTTGGAGTTGGAGGACCCAGCTGACATTGGCTGGAGGAGGTCCCCCAAAGCCGAGTCTCAACATCCATGATGCCGTTAATTTATTGGATTCATTTGGATTCCTGATTGCGGACATCTGACATATCGCAGCAATTGCTGGGAAGAGATACTGGGTCAATAGTTCAACCGGCATTGGACTCATGTTCAGAGCTTTTCAATATATGGCCTTTCCCCCACACCCATTGAACAACACCAGGATACCTGTCGCCCTCCTTGGGCTTGAAGTTCGAAGATGTGCCCAATGGCTTGGCTGCCATCGCCAAGGCAAGACACCAAAGGACATCGGTGAAGCTCGTGTTCACTGGTTGATGTCTAATTATGTCGAAAGAATTCGATTGCAAGATGGACATATGCAGGTTGCTAGAGCCTGTAATTTGTACAAAGTTTTGGTAGAGGGTTTGGCAAGTGGCGGGTATGTCCAGGGAGAACCTGCAGGAGTTACGTAGGTAATGCATGGTGATGCGACCTTCTCAGCACACCAGATTCTGCTGTCCTTTGTGGATTGATTGAAATTTCCCTTGAGAAATGCTTGTGCAGCTGATGACTCTCAACATCTCTCAACTTCGTTGCCCTGGTTTAAGTCTACTAACCAGTGACTTCTGGAGTAGAACCTTTGCGAAGGCCTTTGCAAGTATTTGGTGGACAAGACTTTCACCATCCGAACACAGTCGGAGTTCCATGTCCATCAATCTCTGGAGTGGTTGGATATTCCAAGGACGTTGAGGTGGTGCAGATTGGCTTGTTTATTTTCATGTTATTTCAATCAAATACACCGTAGTTTCTCAATTCCCCTCTCAAAAGGCACCTTGGAATCGTCCGTCACCTGGAAGCTCTAGGTGCCAGGCAACGGCTGGGCACAGATCGTGGCCTTCGCCGGCTACTACGAGCTCTTTGTCTACAAGTACAGCGGCACCCCAGGCGCGAAAGGGCCGTTTCGCCACCATCGGAGAAGCCACATGGGAGCAGCTTGCGGTGCCATTTTGACATAGGTTTGTTTACTTTGTTTTTGACACATTGAAACTCATCAGATGAGTAGGGATGACTGAGTTGGTGTTGCATCCAATTTATATACATGATACATGTATGATCATGTATGTATTTTGTGCATAAATTTATTGAGATGACTCGACCAAGGAGGTGGTGGCGGAATGTACAGAGTACCACAGACGTTCTTTCTTTTTCAGTTGAAGGTTGTTAGAAGAACTCTTTGTAGATGTCTACTTGTTTAGTTGAAGACAGTGGTAATGTGCTGCTGCTATCGTATCGCTGTTGTGTTATCTGGTCATATACACAATTAGGTGCCTATGAAACAAAAGTCAAACAAGAAAGCGTTGTTCAAACGTAAACTCACCAAGTGCTTGCTAAGTTGTTCCTTTTCCTTTCAACAGTAGCCCTCTTGGCGTGCGGAAGGTGTCGGGGACTATAAGACCCCTTTTCTGGGATCTATATAGCTGCAGGCAGAGTAATAAGATGAACCACTCAGCTTGAAAGAATACAATGTTGATTATTGGCATATGCTAAATCCCGATACATGGGGAGGAAAGGCAACACTCTTGAACTACGGTCCTGTGAACATCCTTAGTTGCTTTTTCTGACTCACTCAGGCGACTATGGCTGGAAGGCCATCAGCTCTGCGGACGCCGAGACCAAGAAGCGCAAGCTCAGTGCTGAACTCGCCAACGGACGTTTGGCCATGACGCTTGGAATGTTTGTCCGGCCTTGCGGAATTATGGGGAACTCGTGATGAATTGAGCTCGGGGCTACCTACAGTTGACATCAGCTGAATCTGACCATGACAATGGATGACAATTGTCGGGAGATGGTTGTTCTTGACGGACTTGAACTGGTGAAAGTCGCTATGGTCCCTCTGAGGATGTTGTACATCAACCAAGCTGGTGTGTGCCCTTAGAATGCTTTTAGGCGGTAAACAATAAATAGGAGGTTGCATCGAGAAGACAAGGCAAGGGCGCGGGCCTTGTCAAAGACAACCAGACGGGTTGTTAACTGTATTGCTTGACAACTACATAGGATTATAGACCTGCAGCAAAGTGTAGTGTTGTTCTCAGCTGTTCAAGATTGATGAGCATCCATGGGGACTTAGGGATTTGCTCCGAAGAAGCTGATTGCACAAATTACAGAACAATGTGTGCACGAAATACACTCTAAGTTAAATTGAGCATTTCTGGAAAAGATATGAAAAGGGTGGAACACATATTGACCGTTATATTACATGAACCGGTTTCAACACTTGGATTGCCAAGTGTGTCCTTCAGAATTTGATGCAGAATGGGCGGATCAAAAATGAACCTGACCGTGGCGGTGACCGTGATTCAGCACATCTTGGACTTGACCGGAAGAGCATCAAACATTTCACCAGATGCCTTTCCTCCAGAAAGATGAAAAGCTGACCGTTGCTGGTATCAAGGCAGCGGCAGTGGGGCAGTGCCCCATTTGTTTGGGGCGACTACCCTGCACTCTTCTACGACAAGAGAGACACTTGCGCAATGAACAATACAAAGCCATCCTCCGCAATGGAGTGGTCAATCATCAACATGTCCAGTCATTGGGCCCTTTCGTCCTTCTTTGGATGCCTGGTCCTGACCTTAGCTAGGCAGTGCCTCAGACACCATAGACACCCAGCTGGATGCGACAGTCCAAGCTCTTCCGTTTTTTTCGCCAAGCTTGCAGCACTTTGACCGAGCTCGGCCAATGCCACGCGCTGCCTTCTCGCAGATTTGAGTACAACCTTGAAGAGATGAACGGTCTTCAGCGACACCTGAGAACAAGCCGGCAAAAACAAAACAGATAAAACAGGCCGGATCCAAGCTTTGCCAAGCATCAGCCCGAGACACCAAGGTCAACACCGTTGCCAAAAGCACCCCAGCACCCGAGACCCTACTTGTACAGCTGACACGATTGGCTACCGCAGAGGATGCCGCCCCTCCTGTGTTTGCTGGTTTCTACTTTATTTGGTTTGTGAGTACTGATTTGGATTCCACTTTGATGCACATTGTCCGGCTCTGTGCCTGTTGTGCCTTGATTGTTAGGTCCTTCAGGTTGATTTCTGGAATATGCAACATCCTTCCGTCACCTTTAGCAATTATGTTTGTGAGTTTTCACTGATGTGGTTTTCTAATATAGGAGTGTGACTGTTTCCTGATGCATAAATAATATGCACACAACTATTTCTAATAGTATATTAGTCTCATATTTTAGACAAGTCGTGTTTGATAGCCTCCAAGAGAGGTTGGCTGCATTTGATCAAAGATGACCTGTGGCAATGTGGGTCCTGCGACGCAGAGTTGGTCAGCTGACCAACTGAAGCCGCTCCTTTCTGAGAACAGAAACTTAAACACAACAACACACTGATAACCTGATTTGTTTTGCTGCGTGTGTTCTCAACTTCTCATTCTGTAGCTTTAAAAAAAACATATATAACAGGTTTTGCTGGAGTCATTTGGAGTCTTCGTACAAGCTTTTATGTCGAAGGCGGGCTGCAAACAGGGTAGTGTTTGACTAGCACCCCCCACCTTCCTAATGGGGTTTATGATGATTTCTGAGTGTTGATCTACTGAAAACCCTGTCCTCTACATCACTACAAAGGTCTTAGGTGTTTGTTGATCCTGTGTTTGGTCATGGTGCCAAGATGATCCAAGATGCCTCAGGATGGCCATCATCGGCATGTTCTTCCAAGATGGCCTTACAGGTGTGGAACGGGCCAAACATGGTCGCCGTTTGAGCAGGTTGAGCGGTGGGGCCTCAAGAGACATATCCTCCTTTGCATGGAAAGAATGCAAGTATCAGAATCAGATCCTAGACCTCCAAGGATCAGATCTTGCGTGGTCTATCTATCGATTTTTTTGATTCCCTTAGCGTTGTTCGCATCCATTTGTCGCTTTAAGGTGCTTTAAGTACCAAGAAAAGCTCACCACCTGACGACCCCTTCAAATAAGAACGCCGGCGTGAGACCGTGAGGCTCTGCATGGGGTGATTGGGCCAACTACACCGACTCCCCCCTCCGCGCTTTTGAGAACGAGACAGGAGCACCTTGATGCAAGGGTTTCTTCATCTCACAGCTCCCATCAGCTCCCTTGGACTCAGACCACAGGGCCAAGTAGGTTGGAGGCCATCGCTACGAACTGCAACAAGAAGCTACTAGGAACAAAGGGCATTACTATTAGTAGCTAGAAGCTAGTAGTAACGAGGGCATCGCTACTAGCAACAAGGGCAATACTGGCTTTTAGTTTGTTGTGACCTCTTGGGCTTGGTCAACATAGCGATGTGGCTGGTCAAGCAATGAATATCAATGTCATTGTGGATTCCTAGTTCTAAGCCACATCCATATGAGACACATTCAAAATCATAGCGGTCAGGTTTTATATAACATTGATCATTTTTGGTGGGATCTTGCAGAATCTTTCACATATGCCAGTCGCTCAATGCCTGTGCGTGACTTGTCAACGCACTTTTTCCAAGACATCGATGGGAATGTCCCAGCAGCTCGCACACCCTCGCAAGGGCCGCCAGAGAATCCTTTGAGGGAAGAGTTGCACAGGAACATGCAGAGCCAGTTGAGGCAAGGGTTCAACATATTATGCCAGGCATATTCCAAAAGTTTCAAACCCTCCGAAGGCAGCCACAGCGCCTCCCAAAGTCTATCCTCAAAATGACAGAGAGTGGTAGGAGTTCATGTGTTTTCTTCATATCATTGTCCACTACGGACCTTGTTGGGGACAATGTTTTGCCGACACGTCTCGACGGGTCTCCCTGCGCTGAGGTGCAGCCTCCTGTGGGCTTCTGGGACCCTTTGGGCCTCTCAGTGAGCGGCAACCAATCCGTGCCTCGCTGCAAGTCGTTCGGTGGCTTTCGGTGGGTTAGGAATCCTAGCCTTGATCTTGGATTTCCTAGCCTCGATCTTGATGCTTGGAGAATTTCTGTGTACATATACATATATAAGTATATATAAGTCTATATTCTATATGTTTGTCACTTGAGTGGAGTCTTTTTTGATTCAACAACATTCTGGACTTCTCTACTGATGATATATCGTTTACTGATGAGCTGGATTTGTCGTGGTCCCACTTGGTTTGGCTGAATTTCAATCCTATTTGTGTGCGGTTGCGGTTGCTGCTATTTGAGCCATTGGCAGTTATCCAAGTTCAAGATTCTCAGACCATTTGCATCTAATGTCAACAGAAAAGCTTGCATTCTGAAGGGGAGATAAAGCTAAGATGCTATATAATTTGAGGGAATTTGAGAAGAGCCTTCGGTAATTCAGGTGACAAAGAGCAATCTCCACTAGAAGCCATCCGCTGCCTAAGCATGTATTCCTGCTTTAGTTTACAGTATATATCAATATACTTATCATAGTTGTCTTTGCAATAGCCGGTAAGAAGAACTACGTAAGCACCCAATCATAATACAGTCATAGCTTTGTCCAATGCCACAGATAGATCATGAATGTAGTGATGCCTTTCGCATCCTCGTCCAGTTCAGTGTCAGGGAAGATCTTCCGGCGCAAGATGAGAATCCATCAGCCCACCATGTAAGTGTTCAAGAGTTCAAGACGTCTTAGAATTTGGAAACTGCAAAGCGACGACCTGGTCGAGAACATAGTCTACAGTCTACACAAACTGTTTCGGACAACCCATGCGAGTAAAAACAGTGAGCGGAGGCCTGGTGTGAGGGAACCCATAGCATCCCATCATCTCCACTGAGCTCCTTCAGCTTGGGCAAAACCACTGCACCAAGCGCTACCTTGACTGGTCTAAACACTGGCATAGCGCGTGGAATTCATGGGGCCACAAGTCTTTCCAACTTGCCAACATCCTGGATGATCCCAAGAATTTAGGATTCATTCTGCGACATATCTGCTACTTTACTGATTCCTGTATATATATATATGTGCATTCCTATTTTCATTTAGCAATTGACAACTATATAGCTTGAACCTGATTCCTTCTTGTGTGCACATCTCTTGACCGCACCGATTCCTGCCAGCCGGTCCCCGTCTCAGGATTACAAGCGCCGTCGGGAGGTTGAGTTGAAGCATGGCCGGGCCAGGGGAACCCAGAACAGGCAAAGTGTTGACAATTGTGTCTAAACCACCCCATAAATGTCTAAACCATATATGGAAACCATATATGTCATACATATACATGGAAACCATATGTATATATATATATATATTATATATGTCTAAACCACCCCATAACTCAGGCACTCCATGTGTCAACTGAGTGTCTCTTAGCAAAGACTCTATGCATCATCCCAAAACCGTCCAGCCTCCGTTTCGCCTCCACTTGGAACCATGGAACCATGGCGCGCAGGCGGTGCTGTGAACCATGGAACCTCCTAATGCTGTGGAAGAGAAGGTTTCACCACACTGTGACCAGTTCGCAAAAGACAGAAAAATAACTGGAAAAAGATGGATCAGGGATGTGAACTGATGTGATGAGTCGGGGGGCGACTCTCTATCTTAACTGTAAATAACATGTGTGTTTTTCTTTGGAACTCAATGGACACCCTTTTTTGTTTGATCTTCCAGGACAACCAGTCGTAGCTTCCAATGAGTCGTGGCGAACTGGGGTTACCGTATCATCCCCTGCTTGTTGCCACCCTCTACCGCTGGTGCCAGTGAGGTCGCCATGTTTGCCACAATTGGCTACATTCTCCCTGAGTACTGGAGGCTTGAGCTGAGCAGAGAGTGGATGGGTATAACAAGGCATGTGGAGGTCCGAAGCAACCGATTGGGGAACCAGCTTGAGGCCAAACGGGCTACTTGATTTTACTTGGTTTGGTGATGTTGTTTGTTTTGCTTATTGATGTGTTTCTTGGTTTTGGATGGCCTCGATGATATGTATTGATGTGTCTTGACAAAGAAACACTAGTTGTTTATCATATTGCTATTCCAAACATATGTTATTCCCGCACAAAAGCAGACCAAGGCATTCAGGTTTCATATGATTCTATATCACCACTTCATAACTCCAGTGGCAGATGTGATTCACTCCAGAATGCTTTTTGAGCTGACTCGTCCTTATCACTGGTTCAACCCAACCATCATTGTCACTTGTCACTCATTTGGTGTTAAACTGTGTTTTTGTCCATGTATATTTGATTTCACCAACTCAACATCATAAAGCTGCAGGGGCGGGTCAAGAAGCCCGGAAATAGGCACTGTGGACAAATTCCAACACGGAGTGGGGCACAGTACATTCATTATGCCCGTTGGTACTTCGGGTGGATTGACAGTTGGTATTACATCCCATTGGGCACAATTTTCAATTGATGTGTCATTATTGTTTCAAAAAGCACCCATGCTCAAAAAGCACAGACGCACAGATTTGAGAGGGGTTAGCAACCTTTGAGCCTCACGTATATAAAAACAGTCAACTGCCATGGTCCACTTCCGAACAAAGAGACTGCAATGTTCCGACCTTATCGCTGCCGTTCATTTCCCCGATTCATCCCTTGGAAACTGCTAAGACCCACATTTTTGCACCCTTCCATTCATTTCGAGGGGCAGTGCTTATAGGGCGCTCTCGGGGACTTCAGACTCCGAAAAGCGAAGCGGTGCTTTTCTGGTCGAACCATTCGGTCGCTTCGTGGCCAGGTTCCCTGGATATTTGTCCAAGTTCCTGGACATCAAGTTTGCCGATGTGCCCAACGGCCTGGCGGCCTTCTCCAAGGTGGGACACACCCGCCGAACGGGTCAACCCGTTCCGTCGTTCAGCAGATTTGGGGGTTCCGTTTGGGCGTAGGAACTGCCCAGAGTGCATCCGTTGGTGTAGTGTTTTGCCGGAAAGATGCGTGGAAATTCTACAGAACCGAGCAGACAATGCCCCAAATATCCATGGCAAGTTTGGATTCCTCCTGCGCTCAGCCTTCGTCACCAAGCAAATGCAGAAAGGATATTAAATAGATCAGTATAAGAATACTCAATACTGGAGACTTCGCAGCACCGTTCACAACACAAACTCATTGGAAGGCACTGAACTGGCGCATGTTGTTTTGGTGTGAGCAAGGTTGAAAAGGATTGTAAGAACATGTAGAAACCACTTGGTGTGTAGGAAGTCGATGGTACAGCTCCTATCTACTTTCAGCTCCTGACCTGTGGTGTCACTTGCCTCCAAATCTCGAATGTGAACTCTTGAAATCATCCCATGTTTCCAAACAAAAACGATAATAACGGTGCCGTTTCATGTGCACTTGATTTAACAAAGTACCCAATGTGCCGGCTAGCTAGATGCAGGAACTTCTCGTGTTATTTGTTTGTTGCTACGGTGTTGGAAAACAAGAGATAAAAGTAGGGCCTACTTAGTAGGCCTCTTCAGCCTGCTTCTACCTGATCACCATGTTTTTGGTGTCAGGTGCCAGCCTTGGGCTGGCTGCAGATTGTGGGCTTCGCGGGCATTGTGGAGCTGAACGCCGCTGGGACAGAATGGACATGGTCAACGGGGCGAGACACCAAGAAACCAGTCATCCAACAGGTCTGCAATGGAGATCAGCATTGGTAGTGCAAAGTTGTCATGATTGGCACGCCTCGTATTGTCCTTGTTCGGCTTTGTTTGTTTGGTTGGGTTATTTGTTCTTTGGTTCGTATCGGACCGTGTCTGGTAAGGTCTGGACTTGTCCGGTTTTTGTTTGGTCCGGAGGTTGGTGGGTTGGTTGGTACTTGTTTGATCTTGTTATATAATTAGTCTTGTTTGTTGTTTTCAAGCCCGGCAAGGGAAGTACTGTGATAAAAGGACCACTCTTCTTGTAGTTGGAAAGCCGTCTTTGCTGGATGTTTCTTTCGCCGCATTCTTGGGTATACGGACAGTCAGGAAACCATGGAGGTGTGAGCATTTCGATGTCTACAGTCGTTCAGTCCGGAGAGACGACACATGTAGGAGCTCCTGGGGGTGGGTGAAGTTCAACGCCCGTCGTCCTCAACTGTGCGCAAGGTCTACAACGAGGAGGTCAATGGCGAGCCTGGCAACTACGGGTCCGGCTTCCTGGGCCTCAGGCCACTCAGCTGCACGGACATCCAATGATGCAGCTTTGTCTCACACGAATTTGTTAGATTACAGGGACATTACAGGGACCAATTAAGCAGCTTTCACCAGCTCAGTGGCCACAAATGCCTCTCAAGGATTCCTTTGAGAGCCAAAAGATACACCACACGCCACGCGTTCCTACGTTCCTCCGCGGCCTCGGTCGAACGGCGAGGTCCGTGGGCGTCATGAACTCGGGCATCTCCGACCCGGAGGTGCGCAAGAAGAAGCTGAACGCTGAGCAGCTCGGCGACGAATTCGGACGATTCGGACGACCCAGGTGAGGTCAAGAAGAAGGATATTTGTCTTCTGTATGGAGTAGATGGAGAAGATTGCACATTAACATAGTTGTAGAGAATTTAATAAGGAAGAACCACTGTTGTACCCAGTTGTCTACACAATGATGTAGCATGTTCTCAATAGGTTTTGGGTGGGAGACTGGCAATGTTTGTGTTCTTTTGTCCGGCAAGTTTCCACTAGTGAACAAGTAAGACTCTACTCTGTTCTACACAGACAGTGACCCAATGATTCTTGTGACCATCAAATGGCCCTAGAGCTGAACAACGGCAAGAAACACCTGGTACTGAGACTTCTTGGTCGTTGAGATTCTCACCTCAACCAAGGCTCGCCAATGGTCGCCTGGCCATGATGGCCATCATCGGCATGTTCTTCCAGGACTAACACAGGGGCTCACTAACGTCGTCGTAAAGACTTTGCCAAGCGCTGTCGTCACCGGTATGTTAAGTTTCAGGTACGGGCCTTGCATCAACATATGGATAATGGGGATATGGGACGGTTTTATCAGACTTTGAAGCAACTTGGTGTTCGTAATGTTAATTTCTCCGAGGAAGGCCTGTGTCGCTTCAGCCTTCAACAGATGAAACAGCACAACGAGCAGGTCTCACACGGCCCGTTGCCGGTTGATCTTGAAATGGTCGCGGACGCTGTGGCGCAAAGACCGATTGACGCATCTTTGGGTTTCTTGCCGACTCGACAAGAGTTTCGTAGGGCTTTAAGTGCACTGCGCGAATCCTCTCCTGGCAAAGATGCCGTCACTTCGATCATGCTTCGTTTTTCGGGTGTTCGTGCTCAGGAACAGCTGTATCGGTTGGTTTGCCAGTGTTGGACCTCCGATGGTTCCTCTTGGGATTCTCTGCTCACCACTGGTCTCGGTGTCATGTTGTTCAAAACAGGTGATAAAAACTCCTTAGACAATTACCGCTGCATTGTATTGTTGTCTATGATGAGCCGTTTAATTGGCAAAATTGTCGCCTCCCGGTTGTCGCAATTTGCAGAAACTCACGGCTTGTTCTCTGATTTCCAATTCGGCAACCGCAAACATCGATCTGTGACGGACGCTCTGTTCGTGGTCCGGATGGTTTTGGAGCTTGCTGCGGAGGTTGCCTTTGCTTCTTCTCGCGAGGAAGCGGACACGGACCTTCCTGACCTGGATGATGTTTTATCCGTTGTCCCGTTCGACATCCGTAAGGCCTTTCCCTCTGTTGATCGCCAAGCTGCATACGCATTGTTTGCACGGCTTGGTATGCCAGATTCGTTTAGCCGAGTCATTTCCAATCTTCACGATCACACTCATTATCAAGTTTTTTCCAGAGCTGGTTTGAGTGATGCGTATCGTCTCCAGCGTGGATTTAGAGAAGGTTGTTGCAGTTCGCCCGGATGCTACTCAATCTTCCACGATCAGGTGATGCGGATTTTTCGAGACAAAGCATTGACATTTTTGCGGGTTAATGGTTCCCTCCCAGTGACTCTCGAACACAAATGTCATCGTCCATTCAACAAGCGTGCTTACCGCCCTCGTCGTTCGTCTGATGTCGGCGTTCGCACCCTTCTTGACCTCACCTTTGCCGATGATACTAGTATGTTATGCCGTACAGGGGTGAGACCAGCCCTTGAAGCTTTGCTCGAAGAAACTCTCACCGCTTGGGGCGAAGAAATCAAACAGACTAAACTAAGCGTATCTTGATTGGTCCTCAGGCCCCCCCGGCCAATTATCAAACTACTGCACGTTTGTTAGGTGGTTGGCTCTCATCTTCGGGACTGCATGAAGCTGATGACAGGGAGCGGCTTAATGCTGCTAAAAGAGTCTGAAGTCGCTTGTACAAACAGCTTCCCCGATACGGGGTCCCTTTGAAGATGCTTGGGCGCCTGGTGGAAGCCTCCGTTGTGAGATCTTTGCTGTTTGGTGTTGAAACAAGAGCAGTTGGACATCGCACGGTGAAAGCTTGGCAGGTTTTTCTGAATACAGTTGTTCGTGGTGTGCTTCGTGTTAGACTTTCCGAAATGCATGAGCAGCAATGTACAGCTGTGGATCTCCTCGAAAAACTAGGCTTGTGCACTATCAGTATATATAGCCCAGAGTCAACTACGTTATGTAGGTCATCTCGCTCGTTTGCCTTCCAATCGGGTGGAACGACAAATCCTCTTCGGATGGCTTGGATACGAAGCCCAGCTTCCTGCCAAACCCAAGTATGCTGTCACGCGTGCCCAGCTTTGGCGACGCATCTGTGACCTCATGTCTCTGACTGATATCCCCAAAAACCAATGGGCAGATCAATGGCATGTCCTGGCTTGTCAGGACGACGGTGCTGAGTGGCGCCGATTGCTTCGCTTGTGGCTTGTTCGTGCCAAGGAGCAAATGCATCAGGACTCTTGGGCGGAACGGCACAAGGATGCTGCACGTGCAGGGCGCATCCAAAGATGCGCCGACAAGGCCAGAGACGAACTCGGTTGCATCCGGCAGCCGGATGGCCGGTATCTGTGCGGCCTTGAAGGATGCACCAAGATATGTTCTTTGCGCGCAATGCGCACGCATGTCCAGAGCTGTTCTTCTTTAACCCAGGCGCAACGGGCTGCTCAAGCGCACAGTCGTGCAGTGAATGCGACTCGGACTCGACATGGCCCCTCTAGTGCTCACTTGCCGCGCCCGTCGGGACCTGCCACGGTGCCACGTCGAAGAGTGATGGGCAAAAGCAAGGCCGATGCCATGGGCCCTTGTCAGAATGTTGATGCCCGCAACTTCGACCCTGACACTCTTTGCCGCACTTTCGCGGACCGTACTCGTGGTCATCGACAATTGACTTTGACGGATCTCCCTGTTCCCTCCATTCCCAAGGAATGGCCTTCACTTAAGTGCCCCTACTGTTGTGCAGTGTTTCCTGACTCAAATGCACGCAAAAAGCATGTGTTTGGCTGTAAGCACTTTCCCTACGAGGACTGGCTCTGGCGAGTCCGTGTCACGCAGCGTGCTGCGGTCGAAGGATCGCATGCGTGCGTTCACTGTGGCACGAAGTTTCTACATGCCAAAGCGGCAGGACGACACGGTGTTGTTTGTGCGGCGAAACGTCGCACCTTCGGCTTGCCGTTGAACTTACGACAGTGGCATGATTTGTGACTAGGCCTTTTCTTGAATATCTCATCTCGCTTGAGACAAGTTGACCATGACTTTCTCCTCTTCCGAATGCATGCCGTGTTTATATCTGCTGCCTGGGTGCAGCCCTTTTGCCTCTCAAGGATCCTTTTGCCCCAAGCGAGCTGTGTGATGCCTTCTCTCCAAGAGACACTCGAAGCGGCTCGGCAGGCACACAGCAGTAGCGGTCCTTCCGGTGGCGTCCAAGCTCGCAAGCGTCCTCAAGCACATGAGAGTGCCACTGGCACTGGGGGTGAATCTGAGTTGGCCACTATGCTGGAGCACAGCCTTCGCCTTGGGGCTTCACTTGCTGACAAGGTCGAGGGCGTGGTCGCTGCTTGCAACCTGGTTGTCATCTTGGTCAGCCAGCCTCTCAAAGACGCTATGTTGCAGGCCCTCTCGCAATGGCTGGACAGCTGTCCAGAGTGGAAGAAAGGTTCGCCTGGTGTGCCACACCCCCTTGGTGAGAAGAAGATGTTTCTGTTCGGCACCTTCATGGACCTTTTGTCCAAAGACCTCACACCGGACCACCCGAGCCAAGAGCACATCAAGCTCTTGCAGGCCATGGACTCTTCGGACTTGGCACGATGGATTGCCACGTTTCGCCCTCGGTATGCGACGCCACGTGATGGCAGACCGTGGGTTTTCGAATTGTCGGTGTCGGTGCTGTCCGGTGAGGATTTTCGGAAAAGTTTGGATGCGCTTTCCACGCAGGTTCGACACGAGTCCATTAGGATCGAGCCACAGAGATGGGCTCAATCAGCGATCCAAAAACAAGTCTGGGAGGACCTTCGTGGTTTCAAACCGCCGCAACGCTAAATGGATACCTGAGGAATTCACTTTTGCTACCTGGAGTTCGCAGCTTCTGGCAATCAGTGCTTCGAGCTTTTGTGTAGATGCATGGGTTTTTGCTGCAGCGAGGCAACCTCGGTGGCTTCTGGTGCTGCTGAGGAACGAGGCCCTCGTGAGGACGTGGGGCCTATACGCTGTGTTCATTTCTTCTTTTTGGTGCTCTACGAGGTGGCCTACATGGGCCTGTTTACCTTCCTCGTCAATCGCATGTTCTTCCAGGACTAACACAGGGGCTCACTTATAGCTACTAAGGTCCGACCAAGCATGATGCTCTCTAGGTTTCATCACCTTTTTCGCCGGGTGAGTGATGGATCCTCCGCGAATGTGGAAAATTCATGAAAATTCTTACCCAGACTGCATGAGTGTTAGTGTTCTTGCTAGACCACAGGCGGGTCCGTACGTAATCAATCATAGTGTTGATGACAAGACTCCTTGTGGCCGAGCCCGACTTCGTCACCGTCGGTGTCACCGTCGATGTTTTTCCCTTCGTCCATCTAATGGCTTGAGGTTTTGCACGATGAATGTCCAGGGTTTGCACTGGTCTAAGCTCTCTCATCGTCCCAATTCGCAGCAATTGGTTACCAGTCTGCGCACTCATGGAGCCGATGTGATGTTTTTTGACTGACTTACACTTTTTTCTGTACAGTTAGAGGCGGTATACGTTGAAGACTTTTGTTTCATCCTTCGTGGCCGGGTAGGCATTTGTTTGAGAGTTGCCTTTGCCAAGATATGGGAAGAGAATGGTAGACAGGTCTTGACCATGGATGATAGTGACCGGCTCCTGGCCATTCAGATGCTTTTACATGCTCAGCACCTCAGTCTTACGGCGGTTTATATATACCCCTGCGGGCAAAGCGCCTCTGAGAAACGACAGCACTATCAGCATGCCAAGCTTTTGCATGGTCGTTGCTCCGAGGCGGGGGCTTTCAGGGGGGCGGTGACTTCAATGGCCACATTGGCTCTGGTGAAGGGGAGCCTGATGTGGTTGGCACTTACGGTCTGTCCTCTCCCTCGACCACTGCGGGTGGTCGTATTCATTTGGCTAAGACTTGTATGCTTCATGTGGGGTCCTTGCCTTGACTCTTCGGCCGAGCTGGTGTGCCACGAATCGATTCGTATTGAACCTCAGCGCTGGGTCCAGACTCAGCTTCAGAAGCAGGTTTGGGAAGATTTGCGCACCTTCAGGCCACTTTTGCAGATGCTTTTTCGCCTTTCTATCTTTGCAGGAGTTTGAGAGGCGCTTTTTGCCTTTACTACCTTGCACTCTCTCGTGTCTGCCTATCAGTACGTGGGGTTCTTTGTCTATTTCGATCTCGTCGCTTCTGACTTTCAGTGCTTCGGGCTTTCTTATGGACGCAGGGTTTTTCGCTGCAGCGGGGCATCCTCAGTGGTGTCC